AGCAGCTTTTCAGAGAAGTGATGCAGGTGTCATGCCTTTATCCTGTTACAGTCATGAGCCCAAATCCTCTGGATCTGATTTTCGGATAAACGCCTGCCTGAGCGGAAAATATGAAATGCGACCTGGGAAACACGATCCAGTGAGTTCGCTGCTCACTCCACTAAACAGAATGCCTCTGTATCTGCCTGTAATAGAATCGACCAGCAGCCATTGCGGCTCATCAGCAGTCATTGCTTAGCTTTGCTCCAGAGATAGAGTCCCTGAATGCATTCACTGTGTTGAGTGTTTTATCAGCAAACAAGGATTCAATGCTTTGTGGTCTACCACAAGCTGGGCTTCTCACACATCAAGTGGAGTGCTATTAAAGAATACCCAGAGTGGGGGGTGGAGAGGTTGGTGCCTCAGGACAAAGACTTCTTGCTGACTGAGTCTTTCTGACAGACAGCTAATGTCTGTATTCAGAAGTCAGGAGTGTGTGACAGTAGAAGCCATTGGTGCCAAAAGGGGCAAAAGGCTGCAGCGAAAGAGAAAAACAAACAAACAGCACTTTAGTGTAGTTGAAAAGTCTTTGATCTGAGCCGTGACTCACTGTATATCTGCACCATCCAAATTTAGCTTGAAGACACACGCAGTACATTTGACTTCATCAGAAGCAGCAGTCAGACAGCACCGCACTGAAGAGTAATATTTTTATAGTTACAATTTAGGCGTGCCATAGAAGTCAAATTGCCAGAAGACATAAAAATAACATCTGCGCTGACCTGTGAGTGAGCTGTTTATTTTTCCAACGTAAACTTTTGTACATTGTATTGGAGTTTATTAACTTTTTTTTTTTTTTTTTTAGCTCTGAGGATTTTTGTGGAGTTTATCAAGAAGAGCTTCAATTATAGGAAACTATTTCTTATCGTTCATGAATAATCACACAGCTGGGTCATAAAAAACTTTCATAAAATTACTTTTTTATTGAGTCAAGGCTAATAAGGCAGTCCCCGACCTGCTGCTTATGGGCTGTTTTTTGATGTTCGATCCTGAAATATTGACCAATATCGATCCTATGTATCGGATCATCAGTCATCCATCCTGACAACTAATTACGGTATGTAAATTTATACTGTTTTGTTTAGAATTGTGTTAAGGTAGTCTCTACAGATTGGTTACTCCTTTATAAATTAGTAAGAATAAATAAGAGTTAGGATTAGAAGTAATGGTCTATATTTAGTTCACAAAGTCTTCCTCTCAGTCTAAAGCAGCAGTAAAGAACGCCCGTCCTCTCTAAAATGACAAGTGCAGATAAAATGTTGTTACCGTGGAGGACGTTGCCATCAGTGGAGTGACAGTTCTAAATAAAAATGTTGTTACCGCAGCTTTTACCACATCCTGTTGAAACATCACTTCAGGCACACGTCCTTGTTTTATGTGTGATAAAGGATCCAAAGCCATTTTTCAATTTCTGAAACCATTCACCAATTTTGACTTCTTACTTGAATAGCTTCGACCGTACACCAGGAAACCTTTTGCCGTAATCGCTTTAAATCTTCACGTAAGCCTATCAAACGAAACTTAAGGGATAGCCGTGTTTCAGCCGAGTCAGCTTTAACTAAAAGCATTATCAGAGAGGACGGTTTAAAGTCTTACTTTCATCACAGAGATGAGTGCCGGGCTTCTAAAAATACACTCAGAACTGGTTCTACAAACGCTTGTCGAAACAGCCTATGGGAACCATAATGGAGGATGGACTTTCAAAGTCATCTGGACCGGTTGGCTTTATACTTTTATTTCCTCATTTTTGTTTCAGAATTTATTTCTCATCTTTATGAAGCATTCATCTTCGTCCTTCTCCATCCTGTCAAACTAACCTGCTACAAATCCAATTATACTTAATAAAAAGCAAAATTTGTGATTTTAGAAAACCATCCGTAAAACAGTAGCAGTGGACGATGGGGAACGCTCACCACACCACGGTACTGCCAAAGACAATATTCTAACTAGGGATGGTCCGATACAACTCATGTCTGATACTGGTACAGATACTGCAACTTCATATTTGCTGATACCGATGTTGCTATGTCCCTGTTTGCTCCATGTTGCACAAAGTAAAGTGAACTCCGTGTCATTGTGACACAGCTCACCACTGCACACAACCAAATGTGACCTCTGTTTTTAACCCATCACCACAGTGAACAGTGGGCAGCTATAGTGCCCGGGGAGCAGTGTGTGGGGACGGTGCCTTGCTCAGAGCACCTCAGTAGTAACTTGGAAGCTGGTGGACTCGAACCTTCCAAAACCAGGTCCACTTCCTTAACCACTAATTCACCACTGCCCTAAATCATTCATTTGGGTTTAGACATAGCAGCAGACGGGCGACAGTTGTTCAGTTCTAAAATTTTGTCCATTATTGGACTGATACTGATCCTAATTATGGGATCAAACCATCACAAATCAGAACCCTGATCCCTTCACCACCAGGCCACTGGCTGCTCTATAAATTTGCACAATCAACCACACGTCCTTATCGCACCCCCACATAAAACTTTACCATAACGGCTAAGCTTTAGAGTACAGGCAGCAAAACTATAGACAAAAGTCGATATGACTCTTCCAGCATGTGGGTTCACTCTGTCAGTGATTAAAAAGACCTTTCAGTTAATGCATATGAACGACGCATACATAGGAAAAGATTTTTTTTTTCTTCCAACACTGAAACAGAGGGGATGATTAGGAAGATGCATTGTCACTGCGTGCCCTTTGTATCACCTTCTTCCTCTGCTGCAGCTTTAATAATTCAGTAGTTGGTGTATACAACCAGTGGCATCTATGTGACCATCGCCCAGATCAGGTAGTGCCGTGGGCAGGAGACCGCCGTCTCTGGTGTGACAGGAGCTGCAGTTAGGGAATGCTTTACATTCAGCAGAGCTTGCATCCTCCTCTTCCTCTGTCCTCACACTGATGTGGCTGATGTTTAAGAGTTTCCCCATTGGATTCTATGACCCTGGACTGTGCTGTTGCAGTAAATTTATGAGGCAGCAGACTGACAACAATAGAATAATCCAGTGTATTTATGAGTGCGGGGGGTGGGGTGGGGGGCTGCAGAGCCGATAATAAAAGATGGTGCTGATGTTGTATGAAACTACTTAGTGTTCCCTCTATCAAAGTTCTTTCATTTTGTGGAATAAAATGCAAATAGTGCTGCATAAAGAAAGATTAGGATCAATGTAGTCTGCTGTTGTTCAATTTACATATACACAGTCTTAATTCATCATGAACATGTTACTTTTTCCAATAGAATTTGTGAATATATTCCTGAGAAACAAACAAACAAAAACCTAAGCGTGACTAGAAAACACCTCACATCAAGTGACAGGCGTCGGTGAAATTTGTGGCCCAGGAATTGTGGACACAAATCAACCAATTAGTGCAACAATATACATTTTTTTGCTGGAACATCTCGATCCGACAGCTAGGAAGACACGACATGCCCGGAATGTAAAATCAATGGCAGCCTTCATTAGCCGTACCATGATCTGTATCAACACATTACTTACTTACTGAAAGTGAAATGGATACATTCACTTAACACAATTTGTGTGTGTGTGTGTGTGTGTGTGTATGTGTTTGTGTGGTAGAGGGGTTAACCTTAGACAACATGCCAACAGTGGAGGCTGCACTCTGCTGTAATGACATTAGCTGACAGCACACAGCAACAGGATAGTCTCCGGTTCAATTCCCATACACTCCACTCACTGCTACATCTCCATTATCAGATATCTATCCATCCATCCATCCATCCATCCATCCATCCATCCATGTTGTGAGCTACCTAGCTGGTTATCCAGCCATCTAATTATCTATTTATATAGTTAGCTAGCTATCATGAAGACAAGTGGTTTTCTGTGCCACTCCCATGCTGTTGTTTTAGTATTTTAGTATAAGGTTGTGTATTGTTTTACAGGCTATGACTCCAAGCAAGGTCTACCCAAGCTAACAATTCTGCTAAAGGACATCATGTACAATCTACTATTCTGAAAATTGAAAAGTGTTGATTTTGGAAATACACATTCTGACGATGCCATAACTAAATGATGCTTCCTTCAGGGCAGATTCAGAAAATGCTGCACATAACGCACATGTGAGAATTATTTGCTAAGTAGCACTTTGAGTTGCAACTATGTTGTAACCAACCTGTCTCAAAGATTGAAAAGGCAGGATTTTAGCTTGGCCCTTTTTACCCCCCATCACTAAATGGCAAGTGTGTGATTTTTTTTTTTTTTAAAAGACTCTTCTGTTTACCACAACACTTCAGGATTACATCATCACCTCAATGTACCACATGTGAACATGGACACCACAGTTTACTATAGCTATGACAGTCTTGGCACAGGGAAAGCCCTGGTATAGACTAGGTCTCAGGATTCAGAGCTAAATAATTTTTCAGTTGGTAAATGGAAATGGTCATAGTTGTACTTTGGGTAAAAATGTCTCAAGTTCATGTCTATTCATTAGATCCGTTTTTTTTTTAAACGTGCTCGTTGTATCAGTGTCTGCCTACATGATTTAAATACAATCAAATAGTAACACTTAATGAAGTAACATTTGATAATTGTTTCTATTGCGTCATATTTATTAAGATGAATTCAGTTACAGAAAGTATTTTTCCTATTAATGGCAGGCTACACACAGTATTGTGTATTTCTTCCTTCAACCTCATGGCCAATAATACTCTTCCTTTTTCTTCATTTTTGCAGCTTAGCTCATCAGTGAAGAATAGGTGGAACCAGCAGACCATAATCTTGCTCCACATCATTAATTCAAGCACTGAAATAAAGTCTGATTTTCTTTGTACTGCCACTGATTTGCAATGATACCTGTCTGTTTCTTCACTTCTGCCGTCACTTTTCTTTTACCCTCTGACTGATTTGACATTGCAGCACTCGGTGAGGCATCAAGGGATTCTCACACAATAAGTGAACGCCTTAAGAATGGCAAAATAATTATTTGTATACCTTTAGCACAGGGGACACGTCCTGCTGGGTTTGCAGCTCTGCAGTTTCCTGCAAAGAAAAAAAGAAAAAAAAAAAGGTTGCAATTACACCTTTGGAAGCCTCCAACACATATAAGAGAAGATTCCATTGTCAACACAGGCTGCACATTAAGCAGCTTTGTTTTGTGGCCTAAATAGAGGCTGCTGCAGAGTCTTTAGTATTGGAGCAATTTATGTGACATCCATAGCCATTGAGGACCTGAAGGAGTACCTCGCTGACTACTTCAAAATGAGAGGTTTGCACTCCATCTTCCTTTAAGGCTTTTTAGATGCAAGAGAGACTATTTTTTGAGTGTTTCAGAAAGAAGGGCTGCAATTGTGAATGACACTTAGGTTTCAAGACTGTCTGAAATCTACAAGGTGAGCAAAAAGGAAAGAAAAGAAAAAAGGCCTCGAGCAAACATGCAGTAGAAAAAGGTTTGTCTGTTATTCTGTGACTGTTCGGTGAATTCTTCTCTTATTTATTTTTTTACTGAAACGACTCTTGTAGCAATTTGCCTGTCTGACATCAGAGAAGCAGATCTAAATCCAGGAGGCATGCAGGGCAGGACAAGGTAGAACATTATTT